GCGCAGAAGCTGTTCTACCATTTGCTGGAGGGAGGGAGGGGAGAACAGTGCTTCTGCCCCGACGCGAGGCTCCCACCCAGCATCATGAGGATGAAATCAGGCCCTCGGGATGCATCAGCTGCTTCCCCAGGGCTTGGCACCCAGTTACAGGAGCTACTTTTCATCCCTAAGTAAACACTTCTGGGCCCGGAGAGGATCTGCAGCCCTTGTACCTGTCACCCACCCAGGAACTGGGGTCCCTGGCAATGCTGTAGCACAGGTTAATTTGTAACAAGCCACTGGCCCTGGGACAGAATTTGGGTCTCCTGAGTGCAAGTTGCAAAATCCCTACTTGCCACATCATGTGAATTATGTAATAGTGGGTTTGACAAGGGTGGGCCTCACCAAAACGGTACTCTGGAAGAGCAAGGAGTAAAGAGCTATGTAAAACTGCATACACTGAACAGCCTCTGGCCACCACAGATGTGTGGTGCAGTCAGAACAGTTTCCTACATTCCGCACAGTGCGGGAGCAGCGGAGCGCTTACATCATATGTGCTTTTGCCCTTTTGGTTTCAAGAGCTTGCTGTAGCTCCCCGCAGTAAGTTTCACCATGGTCAGAGTACTGTGGTCCTGAGAAGGGAAACTACACAGTCCTGCAGTGCTGCAGGCAGATAATGTTGATAAATCAGTCACCAGATTCGTTATCAGGAAACTTTTATACAAGTTTTTAATAAAAAAATTCAACAAAAATATATATATAATCAGGCATTTTATGCAATGCATACATTCTTTATATCTGCAGGTACAGATAAATAACAGAAGGCAAAACCAAGTATTTTGCTTATCTTTGGCCATTAACCAATAATCACCCCCGAAGAGATATTATAGGGTTAAAGAATAATAAACTGAGGCTGTAAATTCCTCTCATTACAGACAAAGTATCAGGCAATAATACAGTAGTTAGATTTTTAGAAATGTAAGGAAATATTTCTTTAACACTGCCCGATACTGAAATTTAACCTGGTTTGCTGCTATGGAATTTAAGGCCTTCTTTAGCTGACACACAGGCAACATTCCTGGGTTTGCATGAGATAGACTCCAACCCTTGCCTTGACCTACTTCCCTTCACCATACATTGCTCTAAAAAGCCAGGCTGTACCTCTTCATGAAATAAACTCGCATGAATTTTTATCTGTGGATCAGTTTCCTGAACCCCAACCAATGTACATACATACAGAGTAGTTGAGCTTCCTTAAGTCAATATTTTTTTCTAACTCAGTGTCCCAGAATAATAGCTGTCCTTCCACTTTACAGCACAGATGCAGCTGATGGCTCTACCAAAGCATTATATACATGATACACATTAAAAATCATAAAAGCAATTTTAAAGGTACATTGATAACATGTAGCAGCTTATGTGTATATATGTACATGTTTTCACAGTTATATTTTAGAAAATTGAGAACACGAGGAATACTTCTACTGTGTTTTCTATAAATATTAAAAATTTACCTGTCAGGCATTTTGACAAAATAGTATTTAGGTTATCACTTTAAATAGCTCTTGAAAACCTGTAGAGTTTAAGCTTAAAGGCTGTAAAGTTTGAGGATTCTGTAAAGTGTTTGGCCACTTTCAGCAGCTGGGCCACCTGCCAGTTTGATTTTTTTTTTTTTTTTTTTTTTTTAAATTCAAATCTGGTAACAAAGGAACTCCACCACTTTTGATGGGATAGGCAAGTTCTTGACTTGGCTGGTGGGCATCACTCTTCGAATCGCCATGCGACATAGATGTTGGAGACTGGAAACTTGTCTTGGAGTTGCCCAGAAGTACACGCTGCCATCCTGGGTCCTGCACAAATAAAAAGAAAACAAAAAGCCCCACAGAGTTATCCCACCTGAACGATTTCAGCTTAGTACAAATTCCCCTGTGCATTGCTAATTAGGGGGGGATGTGCTCTGGGCTTCCTGTTGCTTGGTTCTAGCTGTTCCTGACTTGTTTACAGGAGATGCCAGATCTTCTTTTAAGCTATAGCAGCACAATAAGCAACCTGCTGATCATCTCTGTGACAGGCCTGAGCAGATCTTCCAACAGCTACTGAGTATACCAAATGAAACAGAATAACTGCCCTTGATTATCTAATGGTCTTTTTCCAGTCCGCGTTTGTGGGTCTGTCTTTTATTTATTCTCAAAGATAAGAAATGAGTTTATCAGCTTCTTGATTTTACTGCTATTCCAGGCATGTTTAAACAAATAGTACCAGATGTAAAACCAAGTCAGAAGCATCACGTTGCAAGTCACAATGGAAGATTTTTAGAACACTCGGCCACTGTTCTCAACCTTTTGTGCTACCTTAATATTTTAGGAAGAAAAAAAACATTATATACTTGCCCTGCAGCTAGAACACTGCCATCAGTAGAAAAAGTACAGCAGAGCCCATTGTTCAGAGGTGCAACTTGTACAGGGTATTCTTCATCAATTCTCCAGAATCTAACCATTCTGCAAAGGGAAGAACAAAGCAGTAAGTTGTCAGACTAGGCATTTAATTTTGTCTGATACTTTCTCTGATGCTGCGCAACAAACTAGTCTGAAGCAGAGCTCAGGGAATTTTTATAAACATTTTAATATGCATATGAGGTGTTTCAGATTTGGCCTGAAATGCTGACTTCTTCATTCCTGATATATACCTTGCTCTGTACTTCTTCAAGCATTTTAATTCTGCCAACTAAAATAAAAGCTTGCCTTCAACAGCAGAAAGCAATAACCTGAACTATAGATTTAGGCAATCTCTCTCCAAAGTGTGATATATGCTAGGAAATCCCAACAATGCTTGTCTTAATTAAAAAACCTAAACCCCTCCTGTAGATAGTTTAATACCCTTGATGTCATCTTGAGAAAGCATTCTTCATATTCTTAAAATATAGTTCTTCAAAATATTATTTGCAGTATTAGCAGAAGTTGAATACGAGATCACAGAATACTTTTCTTTTTACTTCAGAATCTACTACTCTGACTACCCGCATTACGAACTCCATTTACAGTTTTCACCGTTCACAACCCCTCTTTTTCTGCTTTCAGCTGTTACACGTTTAAGTTATTCAGATCATCTGCTCTGTAGGCAACTCATTATTTCTACATGGAGAATGAACATTGACATATACCAGACAACTCATCATCTTTTACCAAGACCCTTAGAAGTCATTTCTCAGTTTAAAAAAAAAAAAAAAAAAAAGCTGACTTAGGATTTAAAAGTTCATGTCATATGGGAAGAATCAGAGGAGCCTAACAAACCTTTCCTCATACTTACTTATCATCAGCAAGGCTTGCAATATGTAGTCCATCGTGACTAAAAGATACCGATCTGACCCATCGGTCATTTGCACCTCCAGCAAATATTGGAGTAGGAGGGGGAAACAGATGCCTGGAGATAGAGAGAGACTTAGCTAACAGCATAACGTTTAGAACTATGGAAGTGTTTCCTTCAGCCATGCCTAGCAAAGCTGAGGAAGAAAAAATGAATTGAACATTTAACTATGAAATCCAGAGTGGAGACTGAACTACTGTATCTCTCGCAGTACTGAACACTTCAGCTTTGTTGAAGATGCTTAAATTAGCACACATTAAGGTGTCAGTGCTTTAAATTGTCTCACAGACAGAAGAATAATCTCCACTGCTCTGCCACCTTAGGATTCCCATCAGCCACTGCTAAGATTTTCCCCCAATCTAATTATCAGTTAAATACAGAAACCCGCTATTTTCCATAGTCATCTTCCCTCGAGGAGAAAGCTTCCAAATTTGACTACTTCACTTACCCAAATTCCATAAGAATAACTCCAATATGTGGATCCCAGACATAAACTCGAGTATCGTAAGATGCAGTAGCCAGTAAAGCTCCATCAGGAGAAAACTCACAAGCTACAACATCATTGTGATGTCCTTCAAGTTTCCGTATCATGGAGTATTTATCCATATCCCAGAGAAAAACCTGCAATTAAATAAGCTAATGTTATAGCTCTGCTCAGAGAGGCAATGAAGCATTTACTTTTTTTTTTTTTTTTTTTTTAAGTATAGCGGCTAGTCTTATTTAGGATTATATTAAAATCAGGCATTATGAATTACTACAATTAAGAAATATGCTCAGTGTCATACTCAGATTAAAATCAAGTTTTTAAAAAATAATTAAAGCAGACATGCAAATTCTAACTCAAGTTTGTTAAATGTTATTAACAAAATAAGCCAAAATATAAGATAAAGGCAACACAATTTAACCATGTAGCTTACTGAAATTCATGTATTACAAAACTATTTTATTAAAATATGCAGAAATAAATAGGGTTAAACTCTACAGTCCCCTCTTTTCAGTAACTACCAAAATTTTAAGAAATATACAGACAGAAAATATAAGGTTAACATATTGTTACTCCAGTGGCATCCCTTTGAGTTTAAGATCACTTGTTTACAATTGCTTGGATCACCAACGTCAGCCTAGGAAGAGAAACAGATACTGCAAGCAAAGAGAATTTTCACAGCCAAAAGTTACGTCTTTGGCAAAACAATAGGGAAGTCTAACCACATTATTAGAAAGAATTTATGCATTTTAAATCAAGTCAACAGTAAACAATGACATTAATACTACAATTTACCCGGCTAATTGCATACTGTATTATAAAAATTGATAAAAGATGATGGTATTCTGGGATTTTACATGCAGTTGTACGTTATATATAATCAAAATAAAGACTGTGCAGAATTACTTAATAGGAACAATCTATGTACTGCAGCATAAATTTTATAGAAAATCTAAGTCTTTAGCATAAGATGTTATATCCCTGAAAGAGCTCATTAGGGTCTTTGATTTTTCCCCTGACTCAGTTTTACTGCACAGCTTAAATACTGACATCTTGGTTAAATTTATATGTTTGGCCAAAGCAAACATAGCCTTAATGCCTCACACACTTCCTAAAACTGAACCATTTTACAATCAGTTATAAACGTCTTGAGCAATTTCTCCAAGGAGACCCCAACATTCCACAAAACTGGAAACTAAGTTTTAGGAGTCAGTGTGTTTCACCGCCGTGAAAATTATTTTAAAAAAAAAAAAAAAAAAAAAGAAAGAAAGAAAGCAGAAAGTGGACATCAACCAGCACCTGCGTACGTACAGTACACCTTGCAGTCGAATGCAAGGTTACTTCGTCCTATGGTAAAGTTCGCCCCCAGCCTGGTAGCCAGAGATGCCACTCTTTCTGCCCAGCTAACACCATTGTGCTCCTGTGTGAGTGGTGCCAGCTTAACCTCAATCACACCAATATTGCTGCCACCACCTGTGACAGGGAAAGCAAGAAGCTTATGGAAAACACACAGCCTAAAGATAGCAATGAATACATCCACATCTGCTCTATTTAAAGAAAAAACAGAACTCAGGCCTCAACTGTTCTCTCTCAAATCTGCACTGATAACTTAAAAGTATACAATGCATTTGAACAATTATCCATATAAAGTGGTATCCAGTGATTGAATTGTGCTTTTTACTCCGTATCACTAGGCTTCATTAAACTACCTACAGAGCCCTGTAACTAGACTGAATTCCCCCTTCTGTTGTACCCTCATTCTTCAGTGCCAAGAAAAGCAGCTTATGGCATACGTGCTTTACCTGCACTGCTTTCAGTTCTCTAGCAGGGCATTAGAATACGGATGAAAACAAAACCAGTATGCTGTTCTTCGTTCTAGATCTTTTAGACACGAGTGCCATTTGTATTGGAAAACATGTAGGAACATTTTTGTTCAGCGGGAGATACCACGACTGGCTCAGACTTTGAAAAGTCCTTTTCATTGAGCAGGGAATAGAAAGGATAAAATCAATAACAAAATAGTTTTATGCATTAATCTAAGTATCTTTTAACACTGGAAGCTTTAGTCTTCTTTGGTTTTATACTACGAACATGTGCAGATGTGTACAACTGTTTCTCAAAGAATGCTTACAGTTTCTTCAACTAAAAGCAGTGCAAGTTCAATTCATAAATCAGTCTCTCAACGCACCATTTGCTAGTTTAATTTCATGCACTTTTACATCATCATAAAACATTAGAAGTTCATGACACCGAGCAAAAGCTTAATGTTACTTAGATTTAAAATGATTATGCACACAATTCAGTAGATCTAATGAACAAGAAACTCTGACACATACTGCTTTACTAGCTCCAACAGAACAGAGAATAGAGGAGTCTGGAGAGAACGCACAACCGTATACCCAGTTCTGATGTCCTCTCAACACTTTCATCATATTTCCTGAAAAGAAAGACATTCCTGTAAGAATTGATTAAATACTACAAATTCAAGTTGAAAAGCTTTTCCAAATCAGTTCTCCCTTTATAAAATTTTATACTGTTTTTCCAAACAACATCCTGCAGAGTCCTTCTACACAGAAATAAAAATTCTGTCACGCAGCCTCTAAATCCTATGTCCCTGGTCAAAAAGGTCACTTCATGCAGTCCTTCACCTTAACCCAATAGCAGCTTATACCTTTAGGGTACATAGAGGCAAAGAATTCCAAGAGCGCATACAGAATGAGTGACTAGTAGAACAAAATTAAGTTGTTTTTTTTTAAGAAATCCTGACCTGAGTTTATAGCAATAAAAGAGGAAAGTATGTGGGTGTTTCTCCTGTGTATTGTAGCAGATAAAATACCTACCATCATCTTTCAGGTCCCACACTCTCAGTGTTTTGTCTCTGGACGCAGACACTAAAATCAGGCTGCCATCTGGGGCAAAGGTTAGATCTCTAACAACCTCTGTATGGTCCATCAGGTTAAGGAGGAGTTTTCCTGTCACACGAAAACACCACAATTTAATATGAAGGACTGTACTTTTATTCAGATCAAATGCTTTACGGATACAAATGCAGAATACAAAATTACAGCAGGCAAAGCCAAATTTTCTTTGCAGAAATGCTCCGTACAATAAGAAGCATGTGTATCCTTTTAGACTCTTCTGTATCCAGAGGCGATTTCCTGAAAGGCCACCAATCCCATATGCCTCAGAGATAAGGCCAGACTTGTCTTTTGATAGACTGTTCTAAGCTTACATTTACAAGGTAACAAAAAATTACTCAATAGCCATTAATTTCATTTTTTTTTAAAGCTGAGTTCTCTCCCAACCTAGCAGCTAAATTGAAATTCCCCAATTTTAGATTCAGCCTCTTACCGTTTGAACAATTATTTACTTAAAAAATACAAAAGGTCCTCATCAACATAATCCTTCCCCATACTCCAAAACAGAAAGCAACTTCATGTTTTGAAAGTTTCCTTTGTTTGAAAGTTATTAAAACTACAACCCAGTGGCAGATTTTAGAGCAAACAGCCAATATACACAAAGTCAATCCCATACTTAACCATCCTGCAGCAACAAGGGTTCATCTGTCACGTGCATCTCAAAGCACGACCTGAGTCTGTTCCTTCCTCTAGCAGTACCTGAACATTTCTAGCTGCAGGAGTTCACGCTTTTTTTTTAGATTACCTAATTTGTATTCAAGGCTCAGGTCCCAATTAAAGCCCTGTAAGCAATTTGTTCTGTGTATTAGTGATGCTGCTTCTGCATAACGTGCCAATGAATTGCCAACTTCCTCGCACATACTCTACCTGTATAGACATCCCAGATCTTGATGCGCCCATTGTTCAAGCCTGTTGCAAGTAGGAGCTGGTCTTGCCCAAATTTGAACCGGTGCCATTCGATGTTCACACAGCGGCTCTGCTTCTCAGGCACTGAAGACCCAAAAGCAAGGCTCCAGACGATATCACCACAGTCTATTATATGTTCACAAGGCTTATTTTTCTGACCGCTGTCACTATTCTGCCTTGGAAGTCTTGTGCTGACAGAATTTGCAACATTCTTTGTGCCGTGCAACAAGCTGCAAAACAAACAAAAAATACTGTAAAGTAGCTTGAAAAACAGATGGAGCAAAAAGGTCTAAGATGTAACGAAATCTGAGAGTTGCCATAATGCACGTTTTGGAGGCCCATAATGAGGCATTTTTACTTTCAAATTATAAAAAGCAGCTTTTTCTTGTAACTGTCAAAAACTACTAACACCTTGGAACCTTCTTACATGATGTAATACTAATACTCTTGTACACATTTTTACTTCTGTAGAGAGCAATCTATTATCTTAACCCACGGTGAAAAACAGCATTTTTAAAGCATTTGCAGAAAAACAAGTTATAAAAATTTCTAAGACTTTCTAAGTGGGCAAGAAGCTCCCTGCAATTCACTTGCGTGTGTTAAACACTGGGAAGAGCTACTGAGGCCAGCGTATGGCAATCGCTTAACCCACCACCAGCAAGAGGGAAAAAAAACAAAAGGGGAGGCGGGATTTGCTGGGAGAGGAAATGTAACCAGCTACAAAACTGCAACTGCTGGTTACGAACTTCTTTAAAATGCAACCTGCAAGTGAAAATAAAATGTGTCATTTGGAACTTAGCTTGCATTCTAAGAACGACAGGGAGGGAGGTTTGCCTTTAAGTAAATTCCGAAAAGGTTAAACCAGATAGCTTCCTGCTGGGAAATTTGAAAGTCCAGGTCTGCCCAAGTCTTTACGTTTCCTTTTCATTCTAACTTCTTATTTTAGAGCATCTGAATCAATTACTAAATGACTCCTCCATAGCCCTTGAGAGGCTGCAATACACTTGATTCTGTCACTGGCCACAGAGGAAGAGATAAAACAGCAGCTCTTGCTTTAAAGAATTAGCTTTTCCCAAAAACATCAAAGCCTAAAAAGTCAAAAAAGCCAACACATGCATTTTCATCTATTAAAAGCTATCCCTTCATTTGAAATTCTTAAGTTTTTCAGGTGAATTAAAAGCCATATGGTTTTGTCTTACAAGTTATTAAGGCACTGAGACCAGGGGACCAGCTTCACTATGCGATGCCCTTGAGACCAAGCAAAGTAAGATCCATCGGGAGCAAATGCAACGGTCCAGTTTTCACGTCCACACTTCTTGTCAAAAGGAGAAGTTGGGGCTAAGAGTTCTCCCACAGTGCGTGATCGTGCTAAAAAGAAAACAAAAGAGGAAATTCCGTTTTGTTTTTTTTTTTTAAAAAAAGCCAGCATATTTTAAAGAGTTACAAGGGAACCAGGCAATATGTTAATTGTTTTGCTTTTATTTCATAACATCTAAAGTATTCGGGGAAGAGGCCTTATTGTCACTGTATAACCTCAGCTGCAAAAGAGATTGAGTCACTAAAGATTAACAGCTTAGTGTTAAAACGTGCTGGTCGTCACGTCAGTAACATCGCATCTTGGTATCATAACTGAAATAACTTAAAAATTTACTGAGACCAGCTATTACTTCAATTATTTTAACTATAGCTCTAGAGACAGCAGTGAACTGTGCTCTAACTCAAGCCCTCAGCACAAGAAGGACATGGAAGTGTTGGAGCAGGGCCAGGGGAGGGCCACAAAAATGCTCCGAGGGCTGGAGCCCCTCTGCTCTGAGG